AGAGAGAGAGAGAGAGAGAGAGAGAGAGAGAGAGAGAGAGAGAACCCAATCTAACTAACTATGTGTCTCCCCCCCCTCTCCCCCCCATACGATAAAGTGTAGCATATGCTTCGATCAGTTTCATATCCGATCCTCCCCACCACACGATCAAGCGTAGTATCTGATCCGTTCAGTTTCATATCTGATCCGTGGTCCATGGAGACCTTTTCATTTTAAGAAAGAAAAAAAAGCATGCATGCGCGTGAGCGAGTGAGAGAGAGAGAGAGGTGTCCATCGAGATTGAAAGAAAAAAAAGCATGGGTGCATTATGGAGTCGACTCACATAAGAAGGATGTTCGTTTTTGTGCATTTGGTGTGTTGGTGCCACCCTCTCTCTCTCTCTCTCACACACACACACACACACACAGTGTCATACACGTATTCGATTTTGAGTTTCCCGTTCTGTTCGAGTGTATGCAATTGTGTTCTGAGTCAGTTTGAACTCTGTTTGCGTCTGTTTGAGTCAATTTGAGCTTTGATTGCCTTTTGATTTTGTGTTAGTCTGTAGCTCCATTTGAGTCGGTGTGAGCGGTTTGTCCAACGTTTTCCGTTATTGCTATTTGTGCAGGCATTGTCCGCACCGCCCGCACCATGGGCGCTTAGCTAGTTCTTTATGATATGCAACCAGGGATGAATTCTGGCCCCTATCCAGACATGGACGTCAAGCAGAAGAAATTGACCAGACTGTCATTCAACTGACGCGAATGTGCATGTGCTGTGTGTTTGCTGAGTCCAATTCTGTGTCCATGTAATATCTTTGATTGGCTGTGTATGTGTGTGACTGTGACTCGAACAGGGACAAGGTAGGGATAGAGTGACGGCCAAGGGCAGGACTGCAAATAAACTGTAGGATATGCCCAGGGGTTAGTTTAGCGCCAAGGGGCAAGTGTGGAGTTGCCCCGGGGTCCAGTGAGCTTAGTGGGTAGGCCACTAGTAAAAAAGAGTCGTAAGTGTTGAGACCCTAGCTTTACACAGGCCCTGAGGCCAAGTTGCAGGCTGACATGATGTTGCGGCCAAAAGCATGAACGCACCCGATAGGCCTAGTGCAGCCAAGAGAGGCCGGGTAGTGCTGTGTAGTGCTTGGCTAGGAGGCACCGAGGCCGGGCAGCGAAAGTATATGAGTGGGTGTAGAGTACAGGGCAGCACACTCCGGTGCATTTCAAGTGGGCAGGAGGGTGGGATATGGAGGTGAGGGTGATGAATCTCTAGCCTGGCTATGGAGATGCATAGGAGGTGGGAACCAGGAAGTAGGCTCACCTTTGGGTGTGGTGGACGTTCATCTCCACTTCACTGGTTGGCAGTGCACCTATAAGGCCCTGTGTGGGTACCCGCTGTGCTGGGGCTGCATCCAAGAGTGTATGGATATGGCGGTTTCAGATAGGAGAGGTATAGTGGAGTCTGCGGTGTCCTTTGAACGTCCGTGATGCTCATGCATGTTTCGCAATAGCTAGGGCTGCAACCAAGTGAGGAGTAAGGTTATGGCTGCAAGGAGGTTCTTTGAGTGCTGGCAGTAAGGGGGAGTGACTGAACATTGATTTTGGCACTTTCATTCATTGTTGTTTTTTATTCTTATTAATAAGATGATGGGGGAGACTATGAGGGGGAATATTGGTTCAACTTGTGTTTATTTTCTTCTTCTGTTCATCATTTCTGTGATGATGATGGAGGTGATGAGGGAGAGATGACATTGGTGTAACTTGTGTTCATCTTCTTCTATTCTTCATTTCTCTTTTCTCGTCTTGTTTCTCCTTCAATATCTTTTATTTGGGTTGCAATGAAATGTCTTTGTCACTTTGTGAGCTTTTGCATTGGAAGTTGACCAAGGATCAGAGCAGGGGAGGAGTGTTTGGATGAGGTAAGAGTGTGAGAGGGCCATTGGACGCCTAAGGGCGTTTTTTTTTCTAGATGAAGAGGGAAGCTAAATCTCCTTGGCGACTGTGTTTTGATGGTGTCCAGAAAAGGAAGCAGCTGGAGACTGTGAAGGAAACTCGCTCCTATCTGCTGGCCAACCCAAACTCATCTGGTGAGTTCTCTGCCAGGTACATGCTCTTGAACCACCAGTCATCCCAAGCCTATTGTGTCATGCCTAAAAATCTGAGTTTCTTTTTGAACAATTGTGGCCATGGGAAAACTTCATATGGTACCGATACCACCCTAGTGTGCGTCAAGTAATGGACAAGTGGTCTACTTTGCATAGTTTTCTCCTTCATGCTGTTGTTATGTCTTGCTCCCCCCCCCCCCCCCCCCCAGATTGCGAGACGCGCTCACCACCTGCGAAGCCCTAAGTTTGATCCGTATGGAATCAAGCCCGTCGGCCATTCAACACAAAAAAAAGGGCCCCCCACATGCCTTTCTCTCTCTTTGGTGCACGTGACTCGTTATCTCTTAGTATGTGTGATGCCGTCTGCACGGGCCCTAGGGGACCAATTTCTAGAGGCCCCCAGGCTGCCCAGCCCTCATTCTGGGCTCCGAGCACAGACTGGCCCTTTTCTGTTTTTTTAACGAAACGGGTCCTTTTGACCCCGACTCCGTATCCATTCTGGGGAGTGTCAGTCGGTTTCCTATTCCTTGGTAAGTCAGAAATGTACAATATACCCACAAATAATGCCTCCCCACATTACAGCCCGGGGAGCCCTGACAGAGGCAGGTCATGAAAACCCCTGAAAAGGAGGTCATGATTCTCGAGGGTGAGGGGAGCACAGGGCCACAGGCTGGTCCTAGTTTAGGCCTAGGTGCTAGTTTTTCCCTTTGGCTACTTTTTGGGCCAGGTTCAGCCCCCTGAGGTACCATGTGTCCTTTGTCTATTTCTTTTTTGTCTTTTAAATGCTAATTCTTTTAAGCCCAACCGATTCAATTACCTGTTGAATCTGTGGAATGCATGGCCTTTTTAGGCCGTTTTTACTATCAATTAATCATTATAGTATTATTATGGGAAGCCAGCTTGCAGCCACATCCATGTTCATGTCTTTAACAAGGGAACATGCAGGGGCTGCACCCACCAGCAGGTGGCGATACCGGCCAGGGGTCAGGCGGTACCATCAGAGGCCATGCCATCTCCCTCCGGTCCTGTTCCCCTTGAACATCAGCAGTCTCTGCGTGATGCCAATTGGGGGGGCCAACCCGGCTGCCTCTCGATGGTGGACACCAAGTATGCCCAGGAAGGTACTTGAGGCCAGTTGGATTTAAATCATGACCTCCTCAAAGACACGCGTGTGCCTTACCAGCTGAGGATGGCCTTCTTTTTTGTGGCAAAATGCAGCCTTATGTCTTCGGCTCCTTGTCCATTCTGGGGAGCATCAGTCCGGTTCCTGTTCTTGGTAAGTCTGAGAAATACTACGAGGCCCACTCTTGACACCTCCCCATCTTACGGCCCATTACTTCCATAGAAAGCATTGACAGAGTGAAAGACTACGAGGCCCACTCTTGACACCTCCCCATCTTACGGCCCATAACCTATACCGCATTCTTCGGACGTGGTGGAGGCTTTTAGTCTCCCTTAAACCACCAGGACCTTTCAGGGTTTTCAGAGTGAATGGCTAAGTTGTAAATATAACTGATACCGCATTCTTCGGAAGTGGTGGAGGTCGGGCCCCACCGGACCACAATGGCTGGCGGTGCCAGCCAAAACAAAACAGAAAAGGTTGCGCTGGCTCTTCAGCAAAAGCTTGGCACACACCTGTACTCCTTGGCAAAAACAGGCTCGAAGGTAGTGGCGGTTTAAAAAACATGCCAAAAACTAACCAGCTCCTGTCCCTCTGTCCGCCCCAGGGCGGCTGCCTGATAAATCCTGAACCGTAGGATGCCGCTGGCCGCTTTGCGTAGCACAATGCTGCTGCGGCGTTAATGTCCGTTTGTGTTGTTGTTGTGAGCCGGCCGAGTTCTCCCATGTTGTCCCTGCGCTGTGAGGTGGCCCGTCACTGGGTGGACATCACACCCATTTGTGCTTGGCTGATGTGGTCCTGTCTTGCCGTTCTCCCTCTACTCTCTTGTCTTGGGGGGTTAATGCCTTCATGTGTGGCCGAGGCTGCAGGAGGCGGGCATGTTTCAAGAGGAACTCTCCCCTGCCATTTTGTGTATTCCCTCCCAGGTGAATTTTAGTCGATCTGCAGTGATTTGCCCTATTTTGCCTGCATCCAATACCCCCTTGACGGATTTGTCAGTGATTTCTTCTTTTATATATACAAGTCAACCCGCTGTGGCGATGCTGCGGCTCTCCATGAGAGGGGGCGCAGAGAGGAAGGGGGAAGAGAGGAGGAAAGAAAGGAAGATGAACAGAGAAAGCAGGAGGGTGGATAGTGAAGGGGATGCAAAGAGTAACGTACAGAGAAAGGGAAAGGTGAACTCCATCCACTTCATCATTTTTCCCTCCCTTCCATGCAATTTCTGTTTTTCTCTTGTTGTCTTCTTTGTTCCATCTGTTGCTGTCATGCCTACTCTTGCATGTCATCATTTCGTTGCCACCTGATCCTTTTTTCCTCCCTTCGCTTCCAATATCTATTTTTTGTAGGGAAAAAAGGGGAAAAAAAATGCTCTCCGTTCGACGTCTAGGTCATCTTTCTTTTTTCAGCCCGATTGTGTTTCCTCTTCTGTATCTTTGCACTCTCTCCTTCCTCTGTTGCACGTCGTTCCCCAGTCCCTTCCGCGTTATCATCCCTCCCCTCCCTGATGCTTCCCTCTGCTGCTCGGTTCAACATTATCGTTCTTGCATTTTCCATTGTCTTTCCCCTTCTCTCCTGCACACCATTCCCCGGGTATTGTTCCCCGTTTGGGGGTTATCATCCCCCGGCTTCAATGTGATCATATCCGCGCCACCTGATTCATCCTTCCTTCAAAGAGTGTTCAGAATGCGTGAGAGCATTCTCTATTTTCGAAAAGAAAAGAAAACAAAACAAAAATTTGCAAAGGAACTTCAAAAATGACGAAGCAAGGCAAGCCGAATGCTCAAACCATGGTTCAGAATCTACCGTTCGAAAAATGAAAAAAAAAGAAACACAGCATGGAACGGTTCCCTTCCACATCATCTTTGTTCTCTTACCCCAGTTGTCATGTTTCTGTCCCTTTTCCCTTGCTCCTTTCCATGTTCTATCCTGACCCACCCACGTTCTGCCAATAAATAATCCCGCACGCGCATCGTGAGCGCCTTCTCCCTTTGTTGTCCCATCCTC